AAAGAAAATCTATTCTTTATTCACTTTCATCAATGATCTTAGCTGGATCTTCTGGATAACTTGCTACAGCTTCTATATCAGCATTTTCTGCTTCAACTTTACTTTGTTTTTATAAAGATGGCTTCTTTGAAGAGAGTTAGGTATTAGGCTTTGGCTAAAGAGAATGTTTTGGCTGGTTGGATCTTCTATCCATATCACTCAGACTTCCTCCATATCATCAATATGGTGGTTTTGCTCCCTGGCTTTTCTTTTTTGAGACAGGGTCTTACTCTGTCACCCAGGCTGGAGTGCAGTGGCATGATCTAGGCTAACTGCAGCCTCGAACTCCCAGGCTGAAGTGATTCTCCCACCTCAGCCTCCTAAGTAGCTGGTACAGTAGACGAACGCCGCCACACTCAGCTAATTTTTGCGATTTCTTTTTGTTTTTGTTTTGTTGTTGTTGTTGTTGTTGTTTTGCAATGATAAGGTTTTGCCATTTTGCCCAAGGCTTGTCCAAGTGTTGGGATTACAGGCATGAGCCACTGTGCCCAGCGAGAATGGCACTTTTGACTTCCTATTCAAACCTTGCCTTTGCATTTATAACTTGGTTACGGGTTTGGCACAAGAGGTCTACATTTTAGTCTGTTTTGGCTTTGACATGGCTTTCTTTACTAAGCTTAGTCATTTCTAGTTTTTAAAGTGAGAGACATGTTACTCTTCCTTTCACTTGAACAGTTAGAAGCCATTGTGGAGTTATGAATTGGCATAACTTAAATATTGGTTTGTCTCAGGGGCAAGGAATACCCAAGGAGAGGGAGAGAGACGGGTGAGTAGCCAGTCAGTGGAGTAGTCAGAATACACAACATTTATCAGTTAAGTTTTCAGTCTTATGCAAGTGCAGTTTATGGTACCACAAAACAACTACAATAGTAATGTGAAAGATCACTATAGCAGATACTAAATAATGAAAAAGCTTGAAATGCTTTGAGAATCGCCAAAACATGACACCAAGATATGAAATGACTACATGGCTGTTGGAAAAATTGAATTAATAGATTTGCTCAACAGAGGGTGGCCACACATCTTCAATTTTTTGTTTTTGTTTTTAAAAGGTTGCATCTGGGCCGGGCAGGGTGGTTCATGCCTGTAATCCCAGCACTTTGGGAGGTTGAGGCGAGTGGATCACCTGAAATTGGGAGTTCAAGACCAGCCTGACCAACATGGAGAAACCCTGTCTCTACTAAAAATACAAAATTAGCTGAGCCTAGTGGCTCATGCCTGTAATCCCAGCTATTTGGGAGGCTGAGGCAGGAGAATCGCTTGAACCCAGGAGACAGAGGTTGCAGTGAGCCGAGATCGTGCCATTGCACTCCGGCCTGGGCAACAAGAGCAAAGCTCTCTCTCGGGGGAAAAAAAAAAAAAAAAAAGCATCTGTGGCATTCAGTAAAGCAAAGTGCAATAAAACGAAATATGCTCCCTTGTAGTCTTTATACCGTAAGAACTTAACATATTTTCTTGTCATAAAATAGTTAATTCTGTTTTTCTCATCTATCATTATTGTTAATCATTCTGTTAACCCTGTGGCAACCTGAAAAATGGAGAAAAGCAGTCCTCAAAAGACATACTAATTTTGGGATAAAACAAATGAGTTATTAGAGTCATTAAAACTCAGTAGAAAGGAGGTACTGGTGTAAAATCAATAAGCATAATAATTGGCTGGGCATGGTGGATCACTCACTTAGAGTTCGAGCCCAGCCTGGCCAACATGGCAAAACCAAGTCTCTACTAAAAACTACAAATAACAAAATAATTAACCAGGGTTAGTGGCACATGCTTGTAATCCCAGCCACTCAGGAGGCTGAAACAGGAGAATCACCTGAACCCGGGAGGCAGAGGTTGCCGTGAACCAAGATCATGCCATTGCACTCCAGCCTGGGGGATGAAGCGACAATCTATCTCAAAAAAAAAAAAAGGCATAATAATTACAGTATACTGAAACACACCGAATACGTTAAAGTTCAGGAGTTTTGATAGTGGATACTTCATAAAAGAAAAAAAATTCTTTGGTCTCATTTATCCTACCATTTCTACATAAATTATTCTGAATATTATTTAGTATGAGGCAGATGCTCAGTATAGAAATTATCTAATAAATGAAGAATGATAAAATTAGAATACTACCATTTTGCCATCCTTAATGAATTAATGTATCTAGACTGTGTTCCATCTTTGGCTGCTAACATAACCAGTAGACATGATAGGCCTTATGGTAGAAGTAGTCACATCTTCCTGTTTACAGGACGAGAGGACAAGGAATTTGTTAAACCCCATGGGTCAGGGATGGAAATTTCAAACTGGGGATTTCTACAGCTAATTAACCTGGTTTCTTCAAATTTAAGAGTGAAAAAGAAACTTGAGGCATATTAAGCCATAGTATGTTATGGATTTGTTTGGGATCCTTATTTGAAGAAACTGCTTGTTTTGAAAATAATTGAAACAAAAGTCTTATCTTTTTAGAGCAGTGACTCTCAACCTGGGGACAGTTTGTCCCCCAGGGGATATTTGGGAATGTGTGGAGACATTTTTGGTTGTTAAAACTGGGGGATATTACTGGCACCAAAAGAGGGAGGCCAGGAATGCTTCCCAACATCCTATAATACCTAGGCCAGCTCCACCAACAAAGAATTAACCAGGTCACAGGGTCAAAGTCACTATCTTTGTTTTACAGATGCACTTGATAGTAATGAAATAATACCATTTTTCAGTTTTGTTTAAAAATAATGAGATTTAGGATAGATGGTAGTAAGTAAAAGATTAGCTGTGGACTGTTGAGTCTGGGTAATGGACATATCAAATTTAATGTTATTTTTCTACTTTTGTATGTATTTAGGTTTTTTCATAAACATTTTAAAAATTGTTTTAGTAGGGTTCTGGGTGGTGCACACTTGTAGCTCTAGATACTCAGGAGGCTGAGGCAAGAGTATTGCTTGAGGTCAGGAGTTTGAGGCCATAGTGTACAATGATGATGCCTGTGAACAGCCACTATACTCTGGCCTGGGCAACCTAGCAGGACTCCATCTCTTTAAAAAAAAAAAAAAATCAGAATACATAACATAAAGAAAGATGAAAATATGTCTTCTTTTACCGCCACAGGCCCTGTTAAACCTGGCAGAGCGACTGGGAGAGGCAAAGCCTCGTGGACTGACTAAAGCAGATATTGAACAACTTCCTTCTTATCGGTTCAATCCTAACAACCACCAGTCAGAACAGACTTTGTAAGTGTATTTTTCTGACATCACTCTGCTAAATTTCCTTTTCTACCTTTATGAAATAAAAGCTTAAGAATCATTAAGGTAAAAGTTGGGAGAGGAAACAAAAAGTTAAAAATGTTTAAGAGTCAGAGATAACTTTGATAAAGATAAGTTATCTCTCTTTCATACTCTAAGCCAGTGCTTGCTCAGTAAGTCATGTAGAGCCAATTAAAAATTAAATGTCTTAGTCGCACTAGGTAATGGCTGCTGTATCGGGTGGTATGGATGTAGAACATTTCTGTCATTTTAGAAAGCTGTTAGAGCTGTTTTGGATTTTTAGGTTGCTTAGAAATTTTGTTTCTAATTCACATTCTAGATTGTTTAATACAAGATTGAAAATCCATGCACATAAAATTTGAGGTTCTTAACCTAAAATTTCAGCTCAGTGTGGGGTCTTTTTAAAATAGCTTTATTGGGGCCAGGTGTGATGGCACATGTCTGTAATCCCAGCACTTTGGGAGGCCAACGTGGGCAGATCATGAGGTCAAGAGATTGAGACCATCCTGGCCAACATGGTGAAACCCTGTCTTTACTAAAAATAAAAAAATAGCTAGGCGTGGTGGTGTGCTCCTGCAGTCACAGCTACTTGGGAGGCTGAGGCAGGAGAATCAATTGAACCTGGGAGGCAGAGGTTGTGGTGAGCTGAGATCGTGCCACTGCACTTCAGCCTGGGCAACAGAGCGAGACTCCATCTCAAAAAAAAGTAAAGCTTAAAAGCTTTATTGATATATAATTCACATACCATAAAATTCCACTCATTTAAAATGTACAGTTCAGGCTGGGCATAGTGACTCACATCTGTAATCCCAGTACTTTGGGAGGATGAGGTGAGCAGATCGCCAGTGGTCAGGAGTTTGAGACCAGCCTGGCCAACATGGCAAAACCCTGTCTCTACTAAAAATACAAAACTTAGCTGGGCATGGTAGCAGGCATCCCAGCTACTCGGGAGGCTGAGGAAAGGAGAATTGCTTGAGCCCAGGAGGCAGAGGTTGCAGTGAGTCAGGATCATGCCACTGCCTTCTGGCTTGGATGACAGAGTGAGACTCTGTCTCAGAAATAATAATGGTTTTCTAAATGTACCATTCAGTGGTTTTTAGTATATTCATTGAGCTGTGTAACCATCACCACAATGAAATTTAGACCCGTTTCATCACCCTAAAATGAAACCCCTCACCTACTAGCAACACTTCATATTTCCACCTCACCCTGGTGCCTCCTCTTCATCCCCAGTCTACACTGTGTCTGTATAGATTATAGATAAACAGGGTCATATGATATATGGTCTTTTTGTGTCTAGCATCTTTCACTTAGCTAACTTTTTCTATATTGTAGCTTTTAGCAGTAAGTCATTTTTTTTATGGCCAAATAATATTCCATTGTATAGATACATCACATTTTCTTTTTCATCAGTGTACAGACATTTGGGTTTCCACTTTGGTCATTGAATAATGCCAAAGCTAAATAATGGCTTTGAATCATGCTGTTGCCTTTTTTTTTTTTTTTTTTGGCTATAGCCTGCCTAGTGGTTGTAAAGTAGTATTTCCTGGAGATTTGATTTGCCTTTCCCTGATGGGTAATGATCTTGAGCCTCTTTTCATGTGCTGCTAGCCATTTGTATACTTTCTTTTCAGAAATGTGTATTCGGATCCTTGCTTCGTTTTCTCCATAAATTGGTTTGTCTTTGTATTATTGAGTTGTAGAAGTTCTATACATATAGATCTCATCAGATAAATTATCTTCAAAAAGTCTTTCCTCAGAACAGAAGAATAGAATAATTTTAAAAGTGTAAAATAATATTTTGCCATTCTGTGGATTGTTGTTTTTCAGTGATGTCCTTTGAAGCACAAAATGTTGAAATTTTGTTATATTTCAACTTAACACTCAGCCCTCTGTATTCAACCAAAGATCTAAAATATTCAGAAAAAAATAGAAAATAACAATAGAGCAATACATAGTACACATAAAGAACAATACAGCATAACAACTATTTACATAGCACTGACATTGTATTAGGTATGATTAGTATAGTGATGATTTTAAAGTATATGGGAGGTTGTACGTAGGTCATAAATACTATACCATTTGTATATAAGGGATTTGAATATCTTCAGATTTTGGTATCCATGAGGGGTCCTAGAAATCAATCCTCAGATACTGAAGAACAACTGCATTTCCTTTTTTGTTGTTACTTCTTGTGCTTTTAATGTCATCTCCAAGAAACCATTGTCTAATCCAAGGTCATGAAGATTTATCTTGTTTTCTTCTAAGATGTTAGTAGTTTAGCTCTTAACACTTAAGCTTTTGATCCATTTGAGTCAGTCTTTTTATATGGTATGCGGTAGGGGTCCATCTTTATTCTTTTTTTTTGGAGGTGGAGTCTGGTTCTGTTGCCCAGGCTGGAGTGCAATGGCACTGTCTTGGCTCACTGCAGCCTCTGCCTCCTGGGTTCAAGCAATTATGCTACCTAAGCTTCCCATGTAGCTGGGATTACAGGCACCCACTACCACGCCAGGCTAATTTTTGTATTTTTAATAGAGACGGGGTTTCACCATGTTAGCCAGGCTGTTCTCAAACTCCTGACCTCATGATCCACCGTGGCCTCCCAAAGTGCTGGGATTACATGCGTGAGCCACCATGCCCAGCCCACCTTTATTCTTTTGTATGTGGACATCCAATTGTTGCAACACCATTTTTTTTTTTTTATAGTATAGAATCTTTGGTATTAAGATTGACTTGATGTTAACTAGAAATTTTCTGTGTTATCTGTCAGTAAAGCAAAAACCCTCTTACTGCCTTAACATCATAATTTTTTCAGGGTATTGGTTGATACTTTTGTTTAAAAATTTAAGTGACATTTTGATAACAATGATAAATGATTTTGTAGGTTTCAATAGTCAACAATAGAAAACCATCTGGTTTTATGGTTAAATGATCTTTTTGCTTTTTTTAGGTGTGTAGTATGCATGTGTGATTTTGAGTCAAGGCAGCTACTTAGAGTCTTACCCTGTAACCACGAGTTCCATGCCAAGTGTGTTGACAAATGGCTTAAGGTAAAGTGATAATATCTTTAAAGGAAATGACATTGAATTTTCTATTTTATTGACAATAGGTTAATTAGCGTAAGTTTGTAGCTCAGTGGACAGGAAGGTATAGGAGACAAAATGGAAACATAGCTTTCAGTATGATCTCTGCAAATGAGGAGAAAAGGCCAGTAAAAATTAACTGTAGTCAACAACATAGGAGTGATTATACAAAACCCAAGATGGATGACCTCTTCTTGACAATGAATATGTCCTTTTTCATGCCATATAGGGACAAGGCCTGTGAACTTGCTAGGCCAGAGTTTCCTTGGAGAGCTTAGAAGGCTACGTAACTAGAGTCTATACATCTAGTGTTTGTATTTAATTCTGACCATTTTCTCCTTTGTGTATATGAACAAAAGCACACAGGACACAAATCCATAAGAGTAGCAGTATGAAATTGTTGCAGGGGCTTCTTTTTTTTAATATATATTTTTTTGAAACAGGGTCTGACTCTGTTGCCCAGTCTGGAGTGCAGTGGTACAATCATGGCTCAATGTAGCCTCAACATCCCAGGCTCCAGCAAGATGGGGTGTCACTGTGTTGTCCAGGCTGGTCTTGAACTCTTGGGCACAAGCAATCCTCCCACCTCAGCCTCCCAAAGTGTTGGGATTATACACTGCACCTGGCTATTTTTTAATGTTTTGAAAAAAAGGTTTATGAAAAATGTTTCTTTATTCTTCATAGTTTCATAGTCTCAAATTGTAACAGTAGAATAAAAATGTGATACATAAAAGAATTTTAATAGTCTGGGTGCAGTGGCTCCATGACTATTAAAAAATTTATATAGTCAAATTTGTTATTTTTTAAATAAAGTGTTCTGATTTGGATAAAACTAGATAACCTCACAGTTTGGTGAGGAAAGATAGTTCTCTGAGTGAGCACAGTACCAGAGTACCTAGCTTAGCCCATACTCAGCCCTGAAGACAAAGAGTCTTAAATTATTTTAAAAGGAAAGCATTATATATGTAAATGCCTGACACATTCAGACAGAAAAACACAAGTTCCACGTGGCTGATAGTTGGGATGTGAGGAAGAGTGGGAAAAGAAAAGGTGTTCAGAGATAAAATCACTGACCAGCTTGTTGTGAAGCCACTCTGAAGTGTGAAGGAGTTTAGGTGTGATCCTGAAAGCATTCGAGAAGGATATAACTGAGACTGTTTTAGAAGGATTTCTCACTACTGTTGGAGAACAGAATAGAAGAGGTAATTCCGGAGAGACACGGAGATGTAAGACATGGTGGGCCAGAGAATGGATAGTGGCAACTGGATGAAAAAAGGGACTGATTTGAGAATTACCATAATGCACAAATATAGTTATGTGGTAAATAATGGCTTCTAGGAAATAGGAGAGCAGGTGATGCTTATATTTCTGGCGTTAGCAACTCCACAAATTATGGTACCATTTGTTGAAATGGAAAAAGCAAATTTAGGAGCCAGGGAACAGGTGAGTAAGTAGAGCTATGAGTATAGATTCAGTCCGCCTGTTTTACAGTCATACCACTAAATGTTTCCTGTGACATCCATTAAGAATAGCCAAGGGGCCACAAATGGTGGCTCAGGCCTGTAATCCCAACATTTTGGGAGGCAAAGGCAGGAGGATCATTTGAGGCCTGGAGTTGGAGACCAGCCTGGGCAACTTAGTGAAACCCCCTGTCTTTTAAGTTGGCTGGGTGTGGTGGCACACATGTTAGTCCTAGGTTCTCAGGAAGCTGAGGCAAGAGGATCACTTAGGCCCAGGAGTTTGTCTGCAGTGAGCTATAATTATACCACTGTGTTCCTGTGGGCAAAAGGGTTTGACCCTGTCTCAAAAAAGGAAAAAAAAAATAACCAAGGTTTTAATTTAAAATCAGTTATTAATCTCATCTGAACTTGTGAATGGTAATCTTATTTACATATTTTAACAGACTTACTAAAAATAATTCATGGTGGCCAGGCGCGGTGGCTCACGCCTGTAATCCCAGCACTTTGGGAGGCCGAGGTAGGTGGATCACCCAAGGTTACAAGTTCAAGACCAGACTGACCAACATGGTGAAACCTCATCTCTACTAAAATACAAAAATTAGCCTGACATGGTGGTGGGCACCTGTAATCTCAGCTACTCGGGAGGCTGAGGCAGGAGAATTGCTTGAACCCAAGAGGCAGAGGTTGCAGTGAGCCGAGATTGTGCCATTGCACCCCAGCCTGGGAAACTAGAATGAAATTCCATCTCAATCAATCAATCAATCAATCAAGTATCATTCATGGGCTAATTCAGAGGTTTGTGGGTTAAAAAAAAAAAAGAAAAACTTGTTTTGTACCTCTTCAGAGGAACAAAGAATGTAAAAACTGGGAAGCAAAAGTTCTTAATGTGTTTCATTGTGTGTGTCACAATTTAAACAAGTTTTCTCTTTTGTTTTGTAGGCAAATCGTACTTGTCCAATTTGCCGAGCTGATGCTTCAGAAGTGCATCGGGATTCAGAATGACCAACCTAAGAAGCACAAATTTAGTTTGGGTGTTCCTCATCACATGTATATACGGACTATCCATTGAACTTAATCTGTGGCTTCCAGCCCTCCCTTTACCAAAAGGGTCAATGGACCTTTCTTTGCACTGTGTGACTTAATCAACTATAAAAGCTTACAATTAGTCTTCACAGTTATGGGATTGTTATACTAACCGTGTGATTGGAACTCCAAAGACTTTTTCTTTAGCTTAATTTTGTGTGTGCACTAACATTCCCTGGTTTTTGTGTGATCATTCCGAGTGTTGCTGCAAGATTACAGTGGACGTGATCTTTTAGCATGTGCTTTTATAAAAAGTGGTAGCTACAGATGATATAGCAATCTACCTTATATAGAGCCTTCAGAAACTGTGAGTGGAAATGAATGCAGCGTATGACTGTTGGTGATAAGTGTATCTGTGTGAGTGTGTGTGCAACTACTTGTGTGAGGGCATGGTAGCTAACGTGTGTATGAGATCCTATATACCAGCATGTACCAAGAATGTGTGTGTAGTTTTAATTATGCTGCAATGTATAATCTGGTGTGTTATTTTAAACAGCACTAGTACTGTACACTGGTTTTTTTTCCCTTGTGTTTGCTGTTGCACACTGATTGCTGAGGGTGCATCAATTACAAACATCGAATACTCCCATCCCTTCCCTCCCAATGAATGGAATGAGAAAAGCCTTCTTCCTTTGCTTCAGGCAGCTGTCACCTTCTCTTTATTGGTGGTCCTAAGTGGGTCAACTTAAGAAGAAAAAAAAAGTATAACACATTCTCACTCCATGAACCTGATTTTTTTATTATTGTGGAAATTTTTAAATCTCCAACTTGGTGTTTCCAAAAAGAAGGTGCAATATCATACATCATCAGTTAGCAATATTTAACATTTCAATGATTTGAATGTTGATACTTTTTTTCCTTTACATTTCCAGTAAGTTTCTTACAGAAAGTACCTGTGTGTTTTTTTTTTTAATGTTTAGATTTGTAGTCTATTCTGAAGATATTTGATTAATATATTTCTAAGAACACCACTAGTCCCATGAAGTCACCTCGTTGACTTCCACCAGAACAAAATCTGTTAATTCAGCTTGACTTCTGATAACATGTTCTGTGTTCAAGCTCCTGTGGGCAACTAAATTGTTCTAAGAAAACTATATTTCTGTTCATATTAATTCACTTGCCAGGCTCAAATTCTGAAAGTTGTCTAGTTCCTCCTCATTGAAACCCTTGTTTCAGGATGGATCAAGTGCTGTTACAGCTCATGTTCCTTAGACCTGGTTTGTTTTGATGTTTTATTGCTTTTTTTTTGTTTGAGAAAAGTTTAATACAACAGGTGTCTGGAATACTTGCAGTATAAATGAAGATTTGATTTTTGTATAAAAAATAATGCTGTTAAACAGGAATTGGTCAACCTTCATTTAGTTGATCTGAGATAATACATAGCTGTGTGGGGTTTTCTTTTAGTAGGTTCTTTGATTATAATTCTGATTGTTTAAAGTCATTTTTCCAGCAGTGTTTAAATTACTTTCTCATTCTTTTGGTGTATTCAACATTGTCTGCCTCTTCCTGCAGTTGCTGTCATTGCTTTGTTTGCAATAGCTCAAGCTGTATTATTCCAGTCAGAACTGTGATAACTTGCTGCCAGCCCCACTCAACTTTCAATTGGCTCTGTGTCAGTTTTCCACTCAAACAGTGTTAACTACTTGTTACTGCCATGCTGCTTGCCTTCCCTTGAAGTATCTATAAGCTCATCACAGCCTAGAGTTCAGTAAAGTCAATTCACAGAAGCACAATTTTGCCCTTTTCGAGATACTGTTGCCTCTATCTAGTCATACAAGTAGGGTTTTGCATACTGTTTCTCCCTAGGTTGTTAGTGCATCAGAAATATATCTAAACAGTGATAAAAATGCACATGTTGCTTTTAAATCATTAGGATATCCCTCACCTGTTCCTGATGAATAAAAAGTGTGTTAAAGACCAAAATTCTTGGCATAACAATCAGCTACATACAAATCACGTATAGTTTAATCTATTTTTTTTAATGAAAAAAATCATGTTTAAAATGGCAAATGCCCATCTTATACATACTCTTTTATATAGCTACGAAAAGTTTATATCTGTACAGATCTAATACTACTACACTCAGTATTCATTTTATTGAAGCATGCAAGTAAAGCACTTTTTCTAATTTATATAGAGATACCTAATTAACAAGGCACACTGTACTAATGACTAGGAGAAGTAGCTTTTTCTTCCCTCTATCTATGTCCCTTTTTCTGTAAATTTTTGAGAGGCAGTTGGCAATTTAGGAGGCAGCAGGGTCTGTTTTGGTAAAATCTTGAATTTCAGTGTTGCACTCTTGTGACTGATCTCTCTTTGGGAATGTCTTGTCTTTGCATGGGGCTCAGAAATGTGTGCAGACTTGCTTATTGTGGTTAGTGTGTATTGGGAACACACACGCATGTGTTCTGACCAGCTCAGGCTTGCCGAAATGAGCAACTTTGTGGCTAGCAAAAGAGAACAAACAGTTGATTTGTGCCCAGCCATTGTCACTTTGGGTGATGCACCAGATAGCAAGCAGATGTTGGTTCCTTGGCCTTCGTCCTCTTTCCTCCTAAAACAATATTGGCTTTACCATCTTAACTCAGCTGTGGGTTTTTGTGGGTTCTTGTTTGTTTTTTTGGCATGAATTGTCATCTTTGGTGTTTTTTTAACCCACCACCCCTCAAAAAATAAGGCTTCCAGGTATCAAGATCTCCTCTTAGGATTTTTTGTCCTTAATTAATTTTTTTAGCAAAATCTAGAAAATGTGAAAGTGTATTTAGATTTTATATACTATCTGAAATATGATTTGTTAGGATTCTTAAATTTGGACCTCTTACAATAATTTTGAGTGAGATCTACCAACTCACTTGTGAGAATATTTTTCACAGATATCTTTGGGCCTTTTCATTAGGAAGCTGTTTGTCCCCCGTTGGTACATTTGGTTACCTCATTTTGCCGTTTGTTTCAGATTGTGAAAGCTCACAGGGGTGTTTTTTGGAATCATTTGCTGAATCATTTTCTCAAATCATATTCCATTGTATCAGTTAACATATAGTTTTAAATGTACGTATTATAAATATCTGTAACCAAATCATTTGAAGGCTTGATAAATTTTTAACAAAGTTTGTACATTTTTTATGAAAGTTACTAGTAATGCTTTACTAAGTAGTGCAATGAATTTTTATTTTTAATCCCTGTGCCCAATTTTGGAGTTGAGAGGGTTGTTGGTAATAAATGTATGATGTACACTTAAAACATTTGTTGTGTTTCATGTCACACATGTTAGGGATGGGGAAGGGTTCTATGTGAATGGGGGTGGAGAGATGGCCACAGGAAGATAGAGCTGTGTTGAACTACTGGCTGCCAGATTCTGTATTTCTGCATTTGTGTAAACAACTTAGAAATATGTGCCACATGTTACAATGCTAGTTACTATTGCATTTCTATCTCTATAAGGGCCAAGAAGATAGATAGATAGCAGAAAGTGTAGCCACACGTGGTATATGCGTATTGAATGGTAGAGATAGGTGAGTAGAGCCTGGCAACATAGTGAGACCCCCATCTCCACAAAAATTTTTAAAAAATAAATAAGCTGGGCCTGGTGACACACACCTAGAGTCCTACCTACTTGGAAGTCTGAGGTGGGAGGATCGCTTGAGCCCAGAAGTTTGAGGTTACAGTGAACTTTGTGCCACTGCATTCCAGCCTAGGCAATAGCAAGAAGGCCCTGTCTCTTCAGGGAAAAAATAAAAGATATGTAGGTAACTAGAATTCTTTATATATATGTTAACCATAAAAGGTAGGAAACAAGACTGCAATAGACGGCTAGTCAGATTTGTCCACATTAGCTGCAATCTATGTACAACTTACTGTCAGTGTGATATGGAAAGAGGAGCTTCTGCTTGTCATTTTCCATACATGTTTGTGTAACAGCTTTCCTTTGACAAAAAGGGAAGAAAATAATATACATATGTTGTGTTAATTCAGATTTTACCCTCTTGCCTCACTCCAGTACTCATCTAACAGAAGTGACCACATCCTGAATTTTTTCCCTCCTTTTTCCAACATAGTACTTGTGTTTAACTTTGAATGTTTCAAGAAACCCAAAACTTAACACTGTGTTTTATGACAGAGGCATTGACTGCTCAGTAAGTATCCATGTACTACCCCAAGTCACCCTACTTAAATAAGTCATGGAGTGCCATGGTTCTGGCCAAGGGCCTGTAAGCATAGGCTCTGTGGCCTTTCCATGCAGCAGCATACATAAAAGCTAGCTGTCTTCCTCTGCTTGGGTGGTGACCACCTGAATCACTTCCTGGAAAAGAGCTGTCTTTTTTTTGTTTTGTTTTATTTTTGTTTTTGTTTTTAAGATAGTATCTCACTCAATCAGGCTGGAGTGCAGTGACACAATATTTGCTCACTGCAACCTCCATCTCCTGAATTCAAGTGATTCTCCTGCTTCAACCTCCCAAGTAGCTGGGATAACAGGTGTATGCCACCACACCCAGCTAACTTTTATATTTTTACTAGAGATGGGGTTTCGCCGTATTGACCAGGCTGGTCTCAAACTCCTGACCTCATGTGATCCACCCGTCTTGGCCTCCCAAAGTACTGGGATTACAGGTGTGAGCCACCGTGCCTGGACGGGAGGATAAGATTCTTATGAATGGGATCACATCACAGCCAAATATTTCAGGTCTCTTGTACACTTTAATGAACGGATGAACAAGGCTGTCCAATAAAGTGTAATTAGCCATGTGATTTTAAATTTTGTTAGCCACATTAAAAACAGTTGAAAATTTTTTTGATATTCAGTCCAATATACCAAAATATTTCCACTATAATATTAAGATACTTTGTATTTTCTCATACCAGTCTTTGAAATCCAGTGTGTTACAATTATAGCGCATCTCAATTTGGACTAGCCACATTTCAAATGCCCAGTAGCCACATGTGCATGGTGACCACCAAGTTAGATAGCATAGGTCTAGACCAGAACTATGCAAAGTTACCTGGTTTCTAAAGCATAGAACATTACTCGTGATATTCCAAAATTACTTTCTATTACTGCATACCTTAGCAAATGACAGTATGATCTTAAAACATTTCACTCTCAATAGTTGAAACTTTTGTTGCTATAATACATTTAAAAATACTCATTTTTAAAGCAGACAATTTCTCTGAGGCTGCCACAGATAACATTCAAAAACAAAGCTCCTTGTCAGTAAATTTTCAGATGATACATTTGCTTAGTACCTTCAGGATTCACAGCTATTTAAAATAATTTGGGCCACGCCCAGTGGTTCCCGCCTGTAATCCCAGCACTTTTGGAGGCCAAGGTGAGGGAACACTTGAGGTCAGGAGTTCAAGACCAGCCTGGCCAACATGGTGAAAAACCCTGTCTCTACTAAAAATGCAAAAATAAATTAGCCAGACAAGGTGGTGGATGCCTACTGTAATCCCAGCTACTCAGGAGGCTGAGGCAAGAGAATCGCTTGAACCTGGGAGGCAGAGGTTACAGTGAGCCAAGATCATGTCACTACACTCTAGCCTGGGTAACAAAGTGAGACTGTTTCAAAACAATAAATAAAAATAATTTGGTCATCATAAAATTCAGCATTCTGGAGAACTGAAGGTAGGAAACTTTAACTCCACTTTTGAGATGGAGTAGATTCCTCTTCAGCACATTTGCTCTTGAACTTTTTCATGTATCACTCCTCCTAATTTGGCAGGAAATACAGAAAAAAGTACAAGGCAACACACACAAAAGAGGTCTCAACCAATTTAGAAAACTGGTTGGCATTGTCTATTCAAGTTCACGTGCTATAACCCAGTCATTCTTCTAGGTATATTCCTAACAAAATGCATGCAAATAGACCCAAAGGCATGTATAATAATGTTCATGGCAGACTACAAAAGCCTGAAACTGGAAACAATCCAAATGTTTATCGACCATAGAACTGATAGTAAATTATGGTTGAGCTTTACAGTGGTTTTTATACAGCAGAGAGAAAACCAACTACACTGAAAACCAGCAACACAGATGCACCTTGCTAAGGTATTGAATAAGACACAAAAGCGAACACTCTCCTGTCTTGTTCAATATACTTGTGAGACTATTCTTAAAATTGTTAACAATTGTAGAAAATTCAAAAACAAGCAGAATATTCACAACTCAGCTCTCTGGGCTTTACTGAGCACCAGCTCATGCCAGGCAGCTTTGAAATTACATCATTAGTCTTTAGTGTATTAATTTCTTAGGGCTGCCATAACAAGTTACCACAAATGTGTTGGCTTAAAGCAAAGTTATTCTCTCATAGTTGAGGCCACAAGTTAAAAGTCAAGATGTTGGCAGAGTTGGTTTTCTCTGGCGGCTCTGGGGGAGAATTTGTTCCATACCTCTCTCCTAGCTTCTGATGGCTGCTAGCAACTCTTGGCATGTCCTGGCTTGTAGACATAACTTCTGCCTCTGCCTTCACATGGCCACTGTCCACGTGTCTTTATCTTCTTCAGCTGGGTGGATGGTCCCATGCCTCTACATAGATGTCAGCAATAGGGTCCACTGTAGGGATACCTGTAAGAAAAGCCAGATTCATTTCAACTCAGTACATCATTTAGATCTGTTCCAACAAACGAACTCAAGACTTCAGAACGTCTCCTCATAGAGCATGGCCAAAATAATTAGACCTAGCAAATGTTAACGAAGCTCACTCATTCTTGCAGTCAAAGATAAACCTCAGTCATGCTCTCACACATTTATTTAGATTAGCACTGCTTCCTAGTGTGTCCATGAAGATAAATTCACTATGAAATGCATCATCAGGTAGATGAGCTTAAAGGGAATAAATAGGAAGCCTACAACCTGTGTCCCACATGGAGAATCAAAATCTAATGAACCTTGAAAACATCATGCTAAGTGAAAGCAGCCAGACACAAGGCCACATACTGAATGATTCTGTTAAGAATTGGCAACTCGTGCTCGCTTCAGCAGCACATGTACTAAAATTGGAACGATACAGAGAAGATTAGCATGGCCCCTGCGCAAGGATGACACGCAAATTCATGAAGCATTCCATGTTAAAAAAAAAATTGGCAACTCTAAGAAAAATAATAAAGAAACAACAAAAAAAAAAGAATTGGCAACTCTACAGAGAAAGTATTAATAGATTAGCAGTAGGCTAGGGCTGAGGGGATAGTAGGGTTGAGGGTGATCATGAAAGGGTATAAGGTTTCTTTTGGGGGTAATGAAAATGTTCTAAACTTGATTATGGTGATGGATGACAATTCCGAATATATTGAAAGCCACTGAATTATACACAGTAAGTGGATCATTGTATGGTGCAACTGATCTGTAACTGAACTAAATAAAGCTGCTTTTGAAAAGCACAATGACATATACCCATCAGAAAATATCTATAATTAGGAAGAGTAACAGAACCATAAATGTTGGTGAGAATGTGAAGCAAACTAAAATTCTCATTCACTGCTGATGGTAATAAAAATCAGAACCACCAGGGGCCGGGCGCGGTGGCTCAAGCCTGTAATCCCAGCACTTTGGGAGGCCGAGGCGGGTGGATCACGAGGTCAAGAGATCGAGACCATCCTGGTCAACATGGTGAAACCCCGTCTCTACTA